CCCCGCGCCGCCCCCAGCCACCTGCTCGGGCCCGGAGGCGAGGACACCATGCGCGCCCCGCTGGCGCTCTCGGCGCTGCTGCTTGTGCTGCGATCGCCGCTCCCGTCGCTCTCCCAAGATCCTAGTGAGTAGCCAACCCGAGTTCCGCCGGGACCCCCACCGCGCCGCCCCTACACCCACGGCCGGGCGGCGCTGCAGGGAAGCCCGCTGCGCCGCGCGGTCCGGTCCGGAGCAGCCTGTGTGCCCGCAGGCCACGCGTGGAGCCCTGATCTTGCACCACCCTCGCCCGCTCCGCACTCGGGGCCGCCGCAGGTGCCGGCCCCGCGCACGGACTCGTCCCCAGACTTACTGATTGGGGCAAAGGAGCGTGCTTGGGCTGAGGGTGCTCGCGCAGAAGGGGCGCCCCGGGTTGAAGGGATCTGCGGGCAAGAGAGGGGATACTTAGGGTAACGAGAGGCTCGTCCCGCGGGGCCCGTAGGGTAGGATTAGCGCTTCTCTTCGAGTCGGGAACGGGGGACGGTTTTGTGGAGTTGTTGGTTGATTCCAGCGGGAGCGGCAGGCTGGGAGCTTAGGAGGAAGTCCCCGAGACAGGTGACAGGCTTCCAGTAAGGGCCCATGCGGGCGCTGTGCTTATCGCTTCGCAGAGCTTTTTCCACTTGTGCAGACTCAACCCACCAGAGCCCGTGCTGGGGCCGGTGAGGGGGGAGCGAGTGGACCCTTCACAGTCCCAGGCAGACGGGGAACAGATCGCTTCTCTGGGAATGGCCAGGGCAGTGGGACCCTCTCTGACCCCTTTGTGCAAACAGGAACTTCTCTTGAAAGACGATTGGGCTGCATCTTAGAAACAGCACCTGTCGCTTTTTTTTCCTCCTTTATTTTATCAGAACATGTTTGCGGTACAGAATGCGTACATCACCGTGGCGAATTGGTGTACATAACTCATTTGGATTTTTTTTTTTTTTTTTGTGTTTTGTTTTTTTTTTTTTCTTCCGGTACCGGGAATCGCACTCATGACCTTGCGCTTGCCAGGCAGGCGCTGTGCCGCTGAGCTAAATCCCCAGCCCCCTACATAATGCATTTGAATCCTTTTTACCTCTCCCTCCCTTCCTTCCTCTCTACCTCCAACCTGCTCATGAGAGCGAGAACTCCACCTTAGAGAAACCCACACTGTGTTTCTTCAAAAGTGAAAGGTTGGTTATTTTCTCTTTGCGGGAGACAGGCGGTGGCTACAAACCCAGCCGGAGCAGGCATCCCAGAGCCTCTGGGAGCAGCTGGCCCAGGAGAAGCGTTCTGCATATTCTCTGCTGCCCACCTGAGCTCCTCCCTGCAGGGAGAAGGGGGTGGGGGTGCACTGTGGAGCCGGGAGGACTTCAGTGACAGCCCAGACTGGGAAGGGACTCTGCTTCTGCCGGTGCTCCCGGTTTGGAACTTGCTTCTGTGGGGAGTGGACGATGAGATGGCAGTACACTCTCTCCTGGCACCACAGCGAACCTTGGTGGTGGGGAGGGCTGGCGCTCAGAGCAAGCAGGCCTGGGTCGAAGGTAGGCGGGTGGGTGGGCCCGACCCTGTTAGCCTGGCCTCAGAAGGGAAAGGCGCACCTCGTGGGGGAAGGGTGTGTGCCGGGGGGAGGTGCAGTGTGAAGAAAGGTGGAGAGAGCGGTGAGGATGTCTTGCAGATTTGCTCAATCGCCAGGCAGAGAACTTGCTGGAGCACATTGGCTCTCCTCAGTCCTGGTTCCGGGGCAGCCAGGGAGGCCCTCATCTATATCTCCTTCCGGGAGCTTCTTAGCACCACCTGGAAGCAAAATGGTTAGTTCGTAGTGCTTCTGAGCCTAAAGGCGCTGAGCCACCCTGCTGTTAAGGGATGCATGCTCCTGAGCCACTGGTGGGAAAATCTCCAAGCTCAGCTCACTGCTGGCCTCAGGGCTGGGGTTTCTTCCAGGTTCCTGGACACTGTCCCAAAACTTTGTCCCTGCCTTGAAGCCCTTCCCTGGCCCAGCATTGGGAGAGCACTTGGTGGGAGCTGGATTTGTGCAAGATTTGTCCACCTCCCAGCCTCTGCACCCCTCAGCAAATCTCATTCAGCCTTTGGGAGCCTTGGACACTCAGTCCCCAAAATGCCTTTATTACAACACACAGTACTACAGGGATGTGCTTTGAGAAGGGTGCAGAGGCGAGGGGGCATGAGGAGGAGGAAGATGAAGATTTGCACACATCAAGACCGAAAAGGCTGCAGAGTGCCAACTGTCAGAAATGCGCACTCTCCTTTGGAGACTCAGGGCGGCTGGCTGCATGAGGCTGCTGCGTCAGGAATGGCATGGACCCTTCAAACTGCTGCACTTCTCCAGTTTGATGGAAGACAACATAGGGTTATAGTGTAAGTCGCTAGGGATTATCCCCAGACAGGTCCCCTGGAGCTTACCTTCTAATACTGGCAGATCCTGCAGCGTCCTCAGTAAACATCGTTAAAGCCAGGGCCTTTGCAGTGCTTTTCGTCTTGATCTCCATTTGGCTGTAGCATGTGGCAAAGTCATACCTCAGAACCTCAGGGGTTTTTTCAATCTGTGAGATAGAATAAAAGAGCAAGAGGGACCTCTAGTTCCACCTATATAAGATTTCAGGGCTTCTGTGTTCTCTCAGCTCTGAAGGAACATGCTGATTTAGTACTACCAATCTGATAGTCATTTGGTGGATAAATTCTGGGAACAAGAAAGGCAGCTTGATGTGGTGGAAACAGACTAGGTCAGACACGTCTGTGTGGCCTTGGAGAAGGCAGTGAACCTCCCCAAGCCTCAGTTTCCTCCTCCATAGAGTGATCGCAACCCTGCTTTACGCCTGCGCTGCAGGCCAGCGGGACCATGTAATGGCTTGGTGCTGTGCCAACTCCCAGGCAGCAGGAGCAGCTCTGATGATTAGTGCAGCATAGGCACGGAGCCCCTGATGGGTTTGAGGCACCTCAAGCATCAGAATTCTGCTGATGTTTCTGGGTGTCAGCGGCTTATGTAGCAATAGAAATGGAAGCCTGGGAGGAGTATGTGAAAGAGCCGAGAGATTTGCAGGGGTGGTCTGGAGAAAGCTTCCTGAAGGAGTGGGCTTTCCATAAAGGGATTTTAAACTAAAGGTCTAGCGGGGATGGGAGACCGCCTCGCAGGGTAGCTGAGAGGGAGGGAGTCAGTTGTGCAGGTGGGATAGATGCAGGTTAGGGACAGGGGCCTGTGGTGGAGTCTTGGGGTCTGCGATCCATCCAGAGGAAGGCACTGGGGAAAGCTGAGCTCGCCAAGCTGAGAGAAGGTTCTTGGGCTGGGTGGGCGCTCACAGGCATTCTCAGCAGGTGCTTTTGAGACTGGACGCAGGCTTGAGCCCTGGGCAGAGCAGTCTCTGACACAGCACCAGGTGGCAGTATGGCCAGACGTGTGGGGCATGGCCGTCCAGGGAGGAGCAGAGGTCAGCGGCCGCAGGTGCTCAGGGTCCTCGCAGTCACCCTGGGCCTGGAGAGGCAGAGTGCGGGCAGAGTGCGGGCAGAGTGCAGGCAGAGGCTGCCCTCCCACCTGCTCCTCAAGAATTTGGAGAGAGGAGCTCCTGCTGGCCGTGTTTGACACCTAGCTGATAGGGAGGGGAAGACCCTGCAGGATTAGAATGGGAGGGGTGTCCTAGATGGAACTGCATTGCATTCCATGGTCCTCCAGGTGCTGAAGGGCACGGTCATCTCTTCCCAAGTCCAGCGATGGCCCGTCCCAGCTGAGTGCCAGACTGCTGATTTGGAGGAACTGGCCTTGGCCCCTGGTTTCAGCTCTTAGGAACACGGATACCAGGCCGGCTTGCGTCCTGGGCTGCTGTGTCTGGCCAGTGGGCTCCTTGACCAGCAGCGAGAGCTGGCAGGAGCAGATGCTGAGAATGTGGGCTTGGGGCTTGGATCCAGAGCTGCGTGACATAGGTGGCTGCTAGGACAGCAGCTTAGTGCTTAGCTCAGCGATAAGGGACTCCGGCTCAGGCACGGACCTCTTCCCTAAGCTCTGCCTGGTTTCCTATTTGTGCCTCCGGGTATGAGAGAGGGAACCACCAGGAGGGTTTCCTGTCATATCCTGTTCCCGGGAGCACTGAGGAGCTGGGCAGTCTGTCTTTGTCATGTGTCCCATCCACCTGTGGGGCTGTTAGAAAGTCAAAGGAAGGGGTAGACCTGGAGTGGTGACTGGAGGGGCCGCAGATGCCTAAGGACTATAGGCATTCTATTGAAGAAAAGCCTTCAAAAAGATCTTAGTGAAAGATCCTGGGGCTGGGGATTTAGCTCAGCGGCAAAAGCGCCTGCCTGGCAAGCGCAAGTTCGTGAGTTCAGTTCCCGGTACCGGAGAAAAACCAAAAAAAAAAAGATCCTTTACAAGGCGCCTCTGTGTACTTGCAGCAGAGTTGCCGGGAAGGCTCCTCCAGAGGCAGCCTGCTGGCTGTTCAGAATGGAATCAGTGGGCAACGGGTAGTTTCCACAGCGTCTCTAGCTAACTTGGAAAGTCATAGGGCACAGAATTCTAGAGCTGGAGAGCCTTCCGGAAATCATCTCCGGTTCCACATTCATTTTCCAGGTGAGAGCGTACAGACGAGGGAGGAGGGTCCCTTGCCCAAATTCCTTGTGGCTCCCAAAGGGCTTGCTAGGTGTGTACAGGTGTGACCTCGGGTCACTAGTAACAGAATTCAGCCTTTCCACACCAGTTCTCCCCTGGGAATGGAAGAAACTTAGCCATGGTGACAAGTCTAGATTTGTGTCCAGATCTCTCCCCACCTGTCCTCCATCAGGGTAAGTGGAGGCTTAGCACCACCCCATTGCTCTAAAGGTAGGCTCTCCAAGAGATCCACTGGGTCACACACAGAGTTGCCACCATGGGTTGTGACCGTGTATACCCGTGTCTGCCATTGTCTGTGAGCCCTGTATTGTCCACAGCATCCAGCTGGGACCCGCCATGAATAGGTGGTCAAGAAACTGGTAAAAGGGCCAGCGGTGGTTGAGGCATGCAGACTGCATGTTTAAAGCCAGTCCTGGCCATGTAATGAGACCCTGTCTTCTTTTTTTTTTTTTTTTTCTTGGTTTTTCTCCGGTACCAGGAACCGAACTCACGACCTTGCACTTGCCAGGCAG